AGTGCTTCTCAAATTTTACTGTGCACAGACATCCCTTAGGGGTGTTGTCAAGGGCAGATTCTGATTCAGTAGCTTGGGACGGGCCTGAGATTGTGCATTTCTAACAAGCTCCAGGGTGATGTGGAGGTGTTGTTCCCAGACCATCCTTAAAGAGGGAGGTGTTAGCTTGTCTTTTTAATACATTTCCAAAATATAATTTAAGCAGAGGAGCAGCCCTATTTCAACATTTTAGTCAATTCAACCTTAGCATGGACACAATATAGCTTTTACCCCTCAAAACAATATGGGGGGGAGGGTGGTCTAAGTATATCATTTCCTCTCACTAGTACCTTAGTGAGCACTCCCGTATATAATTTCTATTAGTGATATAATTAGGGACTCCCACTCAGCTCCCTTGTAGCACTTATCTGCATAATTATATCATCCCCCTGCTTATATATCTCTTTAGTTAAGGAGAGAGGTGATGTCCTGCTCACATTCAAGCTGTTAGCTCAATGCTTAGCAGGAAAGCATAACGGTTAGGAGTGCAGACTGCCTGCATTCATGATCCCAGCTCTACCAGCTCATCTCACTGTAAAATGGAGACAGCAGACACTTCTATCTCCTCAGGTTGTTGTAGGGATTAAATGAACAGAAAATGCTTAGAAAGATAGCTAGCACTGAGTAAACACTGTATAAAATTCAGCTGTGATTATTAGTAAATGTGTAGAATAATGAATCTTTCAGTAAAAAAGAAATGGTATCACATCGATTCGATCATATAACATGTATTAATTAATTTTCACACATTAATCTGTTGCCCTTTAACTTTATTTTTAACATGCAGGAGCACATGTATACAAACAAGAAACTCATTCATTGACACAACAAATATTTCCTGAATGAAAGGTACCTTTCCAGGCACTGGAGATAAGAAAAGAAAAAGGGAAGGATGGGGTACCAAATGAATTAGATACAATCTCTGGCCTTCAGGAGGAGAAATAAGGAGAAAGAATTATAATGCAGAGCACAACAGTCCAATGTCGCAAGAGGTGTACTGATAACATGCTCATGCTAATCAGGAAATTCTGTATGTTACCGGCCCAGCCCTCTATTGGAAAACTTATTTTCCTGGGGAACCACCCCTCTTCTACTCAGTCCCAGTGTTCAGAGGGTTGAACCAATCAGACTACAGCTTGACCTGGTGATCTGGGCCTGGTTGATCAGATAATTAAATACCCCCCACTATAGCAACTAGTTCAAGGTGTACACATGACCCCAGACACACTTGTGATTCAATTCTGGGACACCTGCCAGTGTTGACAGGAAAGTCTTCTTTCTTTTCCTGCTGGGCTTACAACTGCAGGCCTTTAAACATGGCACTACTGGGACCATCTGTGGAGAGAAACTGGTAAATGGGGAGCAAATACAGAACAAAATAAAGTGGGAGGGGAGAGGGTCAGAGAGAGAGAGCAGGTTCTGATGTGATTTATCCCCAATCTGGCAATACCGGATTCATTTTTGGACTTTTTTTTTTTTTTTTAGCTGAGCCATCCTGCCACCTTTTGGCAGCTTAGCAGTGGCTCAGTTCGGGCGGGACTCGAACCGCTGTTGCTCAGAGTTCACACTCTTGAGCGAGTTCTTAACCAACTGAGCCACTCGGCCGGCCCTTGAACTTCTTTCTTGAGCCAACAAAATCCTTTGTTACTTATTCCGGGTGGGTTTTCTGTTGCTCACAACTGGAAGAATCCAGAATAAATGTGGAACTACAAAGTTCTAAATTCCAAATTATTTTATTCAGCCTTGATGAAAGTTATAACCAAGATCAAAGTTTTAATAATAGGAACTTTGAGAGAATAAAAAAACTGTTCTATTGGCACAGTGCTCTGAGGATACGAAGCACTGTGCTAGCCAGTAACATCTCACCACCAGAAGGAAAGTGGAAAAGAACCTCAATGACAAATACTAGTAGGTTGGGTACAAATGTAAATATTCTGTATTTGGTCATCATAAATGGATTTGGGCTAGCTAGAAGTTTTCCTATAGCACCTTGGTTATTAATGATTTATGGTTGTATGACCCCTAACTATGAGATTATGAACTTGCTTTATTCATTTGCTGTGGGAAACTGAATTTGAATTCACTTATCAACCTTGTAATAACTCAACCAGGAACTATATTTTCATTGATCTTGTCACAATTGACTCAGCTGACATAAAGGACAGATGAGATCCTTTTGGATGTAGGAAAAACATATTTGTTTTTGCATATATTATGCAAGTAGAAATAATTGTAAGAAATGAAATTTTAAAAAATGTTTTCAGTTTACTTCTTGGATTTCATCTTCCCATCAAACATATGAGGAGCCCAGGACAAATTATAATCATCTAATTTTATGGAGGAGAAAATGTAAGTAAAGAGAGAACAGTAATCCAGTTGCAAAATACAGTATATGGAATGCAACTCTAGTGATTCACAAAAACTCACAACTTTTACATGTAATTAAAAGTAGTAGAGCTACATGTTTTTAACTCTCAACAAATCTGTGTATTTAAGTCCATCTAGAAGATTTCAGTGTATTTTATTATTCCTAATGGAATTTATATATTAAGTAATTCAAGGTAACATACTTACATTTTTTATGTAGTTACACTTCGCTGCATTTCTACTGGTGCCAATAAATAACAGCTGTGGAAGGGCTGGTGGTATTATCCAGCATCCACACCTCACTGCTTTTTTGGTATGCCTTACTGTATAAGCTATATGGATGTGCATGTGTGGTTTTCATTTTTTCCTGTTTGGTATTATAATTACTCAAGATAATTTTATATCTTGGACTATTAGAAAGATCTATTAAACTGACCACTTTAATCATAATGTTGCAAGTAATTTATGCTAACATGGTGAAGTTATATTTTAGGAATGCACTTATGGATGCAATCTCCCAGCAGAAAAATGGTCAGGAAAAAAATGCGAGGCTGCTTAATAAGTTACCATTAGTAAGTTCGACATTAATCAATAGCCCCATAAGAGCTAATACCTGCTAGAGGCTACTCATCTCTATTCCAGTGGTTCTAAAAGTGTTCTTAATCCTGAAGCAACCAGGATTGATTGATTTACAACTGTTTCAGGCAGTTTTATTGGAAATTAGGATGCAGTGCTCACAGGGCATGCCTTAAGAACTTGCTGTGGTTGGCTGTCAGAAGGGATAGGAGGAAAATGGGGCAGTGAGAAGTCTCTAGATGTCCAGTATGGAGATGACACATCTTTCTCAAGTGGTAATGGTTCCTTGGTGTTGTGGTTTGGTGACGGGCAGCTTAAAGACGCTAAGGACAACTTTGGCTTGAAGCAGTGCTTCTCAGATTATGGTCTTAGGTGCCATAACCTGGTGATTCTGATGCATGAAGAGTAGTTGAAACTTTCATTCACATCATAATGATGAGGGGTTGTTATAATTCCACTTAGGCCTGATTCAAAATGATGGTGTTTATCATCTTACATAATAATAAGTCTGAGGTAGGGAGGTTACCAAGGGCAGTAAGTCAGCAGCTCAACATCAAGAAACTAGGTTTTCTCCATCCCTCTGCTCTGTCATCCTCATAGTCACATTAAGCAACAGTAACTCTAAGCGTCAGGTCCTCCTCAGATAAAAAGGACCAAAGAAGAGAAATGGAAAGATGGCAGAGTCCTTCCCAATCCCTTTTTAGGTACAAGAAAAACGTTCCCAGAAATCCTCCAGAATACTTCCCCTGGGATCTGTTCTGCCAGATTTGCACCACAAACCTATTCCTACACCAACCACTGGCAAGGAAATGGAATTACAATGCATCATTTAAGATTAATCACCTTTGAGGCTGGAAGGGGGCCCAGATTCCCCTGGGGCATACAGACACCTGATGCCCTAACAAAATACAGGTTCTCAGGGAACAAGTTCTGAGCTCTAGACCTCAATTGAATATCTCAAAAGAAAAACAAAACCCCAAACCTCAACATATCCAAGACTGAACTCATGATTCTCATCAAAGCTGTCTCTTCTAGTGCTCTAATTCTCTATGAATAGCACCAGCATTCCATCTGCACCAGCCAGAAAAATAGGAGTTCTCATAACCCTCCTTCTTTTCCTCCTCCTCATCCATATCTAGTGCATCACCAAGTCCTGTTGATAAAACCTGAAAAATAGCTCTTGAATCTACTATCTCTTCACCTCCACGGCCACCATTCTTGACCAAGTCAGACAGTAGCTCTTCCCTGGAGCTCTGCAACAATCTTCCGCTGGTCTCCCTGCATCCCTTTTAACCTCCCTCCAAGTCCTTCACATCGCAGCCAGAGTTGCCTTTTCAAATACATGCTCATGTTTAAAGTTTTCTTCCCACTTCTCCTAGAATAAAGGCCAAATAAGGCCCTCTCCCAACTCTTTGCAATCCAGTACACTGGTTTTCTTGGAGCCTGTGAATGGGTTGTGCTACATCCCACCTTAAGACTTCTGCCTTACCATTGCTCCTGCTCCTTGTCATCCTTCAGATCTCAGCTTTTTAACCATCACTTCCTAGGGAAAGCTTTCTAATTAGGTCAGGTCCCTTTGCTATCTCATAAAGAAGTCTGCCTTTCCTTCAGGACTGTTTTCTGTAAGATTCATAAAAACATGGAGCAACATGCCGGCACATAGTAAGTGTTCAATATATAGTTATTCAATGGCTAAATGAATATATAAACTTCAAAGAGGAGTGGCCATAATGAACGTGGATCCAGTCCCAGAGAAAACACAGATAATCGCTGTGACCTGCCGGCACTGGGCAACCAGCCTGGACCACAGGACTCAACTGCTTCTCCCAGTAAGTAGCTCCGCCCCTTGGGCTCCGCCCCTCCTTGTGAGTCGGGGGAGGGGCATAGAGGTCGGGTGACGTGACAGCAGACGGCAGCTAATTGGGCTTCCAGACGTGCCGGCTAGGAAAAGAGGCGTGTCCGCATGCTCTGATTGGCTGTCGGACGGCGGCGGGGGCTGGCGCCAGGAGGGTGGGGAGCCGGCAGGGCAGGGAGGGCTGAGACCGCAGGCGGGATGAGGTCTCGCTGCCGGCTTAGCTGAGACTCGCTCGCGTGGGCTCCCGCCGCGGGCCCGCAGTGGCCGCGGCGGCATGAAGGGCGCTCTGGGGAGCCCCGTGGGCGCCGCGATGCAGGAGAGTTTCGGCTGCGTCGTGGCCAACCGCTTCCACCAGCTGCTGGACGACGAGTCTGACCCGTTCGACATCCTGCGCGAGGCCGAGCGCCGGCGCCAGCAGCAGCTGCAGCGCAAGAGGCGCGATGAAGCGGCGGCGGCGGCTGGGGTTGGCAATCGCGGCGGCAGAAGCCCCGCCGGGGCCTCGGGCCACAGACCCGGCGCGAGCGGCGGCCGGAGGGAGTCCCAGAAGGAACGCAAGGGCCTCCCGGCCCCCGGCGCGCAGCCGCCGGACAGCCCTGGGGGCGTCCCGCAGCCACCCGGTACGCGCGCCCCACCTGGCACCTGGGCGCCCCTGGGTGGGCGTGGTGGGCGGGAGGGGAAGGAAATGGGGTCACGGAGGTCACCCATCCTCGGCCGCCCCACGACTCCCCCGGTGAGACGGATCACTGGAACCTGTTCCAGAAAGGGCAGGGGGCTCTGTGAAGAGTTGGGTTGAGTTCAAGGTCCTTCGGGCGGAAGAAGGTAGGAAAAGAGGATGAGGATTGGAGGGGTGGGAGTTCACGTCCCTTTTGGCCTTTATCAGTCTTTTCTGGGAGAGTGGATGTGCACACTTGGAGTAGGGGTATCCAAACTGAGTGAGCCCTTACAAGTTGGGCAGAGTTGAGGCATATTGCTGGGTGGTGTGTGGGGCAAAAACTGGGGTCACTACTTCGGGGACTCTCCAATCTAGAGCTAGCGGGGACCGTCTCCATTCTCCAGCCTAACCTCTGCAAGATTCAAGCCGGGAGCAAAAAGAGAGGCGTGATGGGAGGAGAACCCCTTTTAGGGAGAGTGGGGGAGGTAGGGCGCACCTGTCCCTTGGCGAGAGCCCGGGATGTGAAGAATCACAGGGGTGAGAGGTTGGGGCCTCTGTGATGGAGGGAAGGCCTGGGTGACCACGGAGTCGGGCTCTGACGTCGGCCGCGTGCGGAATGCGGCAGGGTGAACGCGGGGTCCCTGGCGCCTTCCAAGCTCTGTGCCTTCACCGGATCCCCATATCGTAGCTTCCAGTAGAATGCCGGCATCATTTTCAATACCGCATCTAGTGCTGATGGGACGTGTAACTTGTCATGAACTCAGGCTGCGTTCTTTAACCTTTTTAACAAGGTTATGCAAAGTTTCTCACTCCTTGTTTAGTCAGAACGGCCAGCGTAAACTTGGTGTACTATTTTATTTGCATATAGGGACGGAGGGTGCTTAAGAGTTCGTTTCTCACCTGAACTGAATGAGTGGTAGAGTCGGGAAGACTCCACTTTTTTTTCCTGTTTTTCTAAAGGCTGTACTCCAAAGGTTTGCCTAAGAAGAGTGTTAAGATTAAGCTGTGCAGTTCCACCACTGCAGCCAGTGTTGGCCAGTGCATTCGACTAGGCTTTCTGGGCTAGTTCCTTGCTTGGTAGAAATTGTGCATCACACAAATTGGCAGTTAGAAAGTAGTGAGGGGGATGTTAAAGTACATTATAGGGAACACAGTCAATAATATTGTAATAACTATGTATGGTGCCAGGTGGGTACTTGGCTTATGGGGGGAATAAGTTATATAAATGTCTAACCCCTATGCTGTATACCTAAAACTAGTACTGAATGTCAACTGAAATTGAAAAAATAATTATTTAAAAAAAAATGGTGAGGGCCGGCCGAGTGGCGCGATGGTTAAGAACTGGCTTGGGACGCCAGAGGGCCCCGGTTTGGATCCCATATATGAGGGCCAGTGACACTGCCCTCCACAGCTAAGATGCTGAACAACAGCTCAACCTGGAGCTGGGCTGCTGTGAGTCGCCGGTGACAGCGTAGGCTGCAGCCCCTGTGGCAGTGGGTTGCCATGGGCTACCATGTGTAACCAGCAGCCAGCGTGAGTGGCCAGCAGCCGCAGTGAGCGGCTGTCCAGAAGCTGGCGACTGATGTGCCTTGGCCGGGAAGAGCGCAATGATGGTGCCAACTTGGGCCAGTGAAGCAACATCCTCCACAACTAGACTGAAGAACAAAAGGACAGCAACTTGTCTGTTCCCCTTCCCCCAATTCCCCAGCTCTGTTCCCATCCCCCCAAATCCCCAATTTAAAAAAAAAAATGTGCCTCCCAACCCTGAGAGAACAAATTATTTAAGTATTAGAGCTTTGACTCCTGCAACTAGGTAATGTTTACCTTTATCTGTGAAAAGTTTAGTCTAGCAATATCACTTGAGAATCGGAAAATCAAATCACTATAATACAGATGTTGAAAATTACTTAAAATGCTATCTCAAGACCCCTTGGTAGACCAGTAAGTTTATGAGCCTATGTAAATGTGAGTGAGACTTGAAATGTGATGTACATTTTGTATTTTCTATTTTTTCCTCTTAAATCTATTTAGATACATATAGTAATAAGAGAATTGAGTAGGGCTAAGCTTTCCCTCTCCCTTTATTTTTTTATCAAATGAAAATATGTATTTTATCCTTTAGAATAGTGTGAAACTACATTTAGTGCTGTTACTATCACTTTTTAATCTTTTTAAAATTAAAAATATCATGCATTTTTGTTATAAAGATTTGAAACAACTTAGAAATGATGTAAAGTGAAAATCCCTTATTTTCCTACTGTTAACATCTTGCATTTATATACATAAATGCACAGAGCTATTTCTTTTTTTCTAAATTTAAGCAATATAAGTTAGGTTGCAGTCTGCTTTGTTCACTTAGTGTTTTAATCTAGGAAGTTTGTAACTTTTTCTGTCAATTGTTCATGGTACAGGTGACCTGGCTTTTGAGATCTATATTAAAGATCTTTAGTTATCTTGTAGTTTGAATGGAAAATTTGTCATTATAATTCTTTTTCAAGTATGTGTTATTTCAGGAGCAAACAGCTCAGTAATTTCCACTTATGTGGTTACTGTACTAAACTATAATGGGTGTTAGGGAGCTGCTCTCTCGAGGTTTTGTAGCCCTGATTAATATGGACTGTACTAAATGGACTAACACTAAAAATCTTTAATTTAGTTAGAATACTGTGAGTGAATGCTTAGTGTAGACAAGACTCAAAGTCAAAACATATTTAACATATAATGGAAACATTTATAAACCTCAAAATGATGTGGCAATCATAAGATTTTCCCATGGAAACAGAGGTTTTTAATGTTCCTCACTATTTAACAACATACAGTTGACCCTTGAATAATGTGGGTTTGAACTTCGCAGGTCCACTTATATGTGGAGTTTTCAATTCACCAGAGTTGTTTAAGAGTTAACTGAAAGTAGAGTCTTGCTCAATAAATTCATTCTTGATGTCTTCAGAGGCTGTTTCATCTTCACTTTTCCTAGGAAATCTCACTGTAAATTTTACTGTATTCTGTCCTTTCATGGGGGTGCGGTGAACAGACTGAGTACGCCAGCCTTTTATTGGAAAGGGCTAGAGAAATTCAGTGTTTGCCTTATCCACTTGGAGCTGCTGATCCAGCACAGAAAAACAAAATTTCAGTTGCAATCTTGATTTCTTAATACTAAATTGTGGGGAAACAATTGTACTCCTATTATCTTTGCTTTTTGGATTTTGGAGGGAGAATAAAATGTTTGCAGGGTATTAATAATTATTGTAATAAGCAGCCAGTCATATTAAATGGTTTTCAATTTATACACAGAAACTTTGGAAGAAGTTTTAATATAAAGTATGCAGTAAGTGGCATTTTAAGTTTTGAATGGCGAATTCCAAATTTAATTGATACAATTTAAAAATAACTTTGAGAAAGGAGAAGGCGGGATAAGCTCCTAAGTAATTCTGTAGTTGAGTAGAGATATTAAGATTTTTTTTAAAAATTATAGATTATAAATATATTAAAATAACTTTTTACAAAATATTGTTATAGTTGACATATTTGCTCATGACTATTACAGTGGTCTGTTATAGTTTTCATTTTGTTAGATAATTAACTTTCATACCCTGTTCCCCAAAAAATAAGGCCTAGCCGGAAAATAAGCCTTAGCGTGATTTTAGGTGCCAAAATATGGCACCTTGGCATACTGAATATTTTAAGCTGAAGGAGTTTGTGGAAAAGGCACCTTTCTCCCTGAAACAAGTCATAAACCCCTCATGTGAGGGGTGCGTGCCCTCCATATCCTGGAGGAATCATGCTAGGGCTTTTTCTCTAGCTAGGTCTTATTTTGGGGAAAACACGGTAATGACATTTTCTACCTTACATTTCAAATACCTCTTCCAGTCTGATCTCTGTTAGAATGTATGTGCCTTCAGATCTGGCATCTCATACTCCTGGGCAACTGGGCATGAATGTCAGCCTCTGTTTTGTTTTTCAGTAAAAGCATAATGCTGTATTTATAACATTTTTCCTGTACTCTAAACATGTCACAAGCTCAGTACAGGATGTAAATCTGATTTAAGCATTTCCAGGTTATGGGACATTAACTTAAGGTTGAACTTAGATCTGTTGTGCAGCTTTTTACAATTGAAAAAAATACTTTATGTTAACTAACAAGTAATAAATTGCACAATTTTGTTAGTGCTGTCACAGACATGACTTTTCCTTTAAAATGAGATCAGTAATGTATTGAAACTATGTTAACATTTACATATGCCCAATTTATAAAGTTTAGATAGAAAATATTAAGTAGGAAAATAGAAAAATATGTATAAACATATTCCTTAAGTCATATTTATTTGTCTAAGTAGGAATGGAAACCAGCAATTATAAAGGTACCCATTAATTCAAATATATTTAATATTTTTATGGCCACACAACCAACATGAAGGGTGATTTATAACAGGAAAAGTTAAAGCTAGTCCAATAAAAATTGTACGTAGTGTTTGAGATGGAGACCTTTTAAATGTGTACAAAGAAAAGATAAACATTTTTGGAAAATTATTTAAGAAGTGACAAAGATTTTCACAACATATTTACCAAGTATTAGATGCCTTCAGACATAGACTCTGCTTAAAATTTTTAAACCCTCAGAACTGGAGTGGGGAGTAAAGTAAGGTGAGAGGAGAGAGGAAAAGACTGGAATGGCCGGGTCCCTGCCCCAGCTGAGTGCTGGCTCCATGGATAAGAGATGCCCCTTCACATGCTGACTGGCCCTTGTATGACATGGCCATACCAATTTGGCCCCATATTTGAGAAGTATGATCATAAATGCATAATCCCATCAAAAAGCAGGAAAACCTGTTTCCAAATGAAAATAATAGAGGTATAAGCTGTATTTAAAAACAAAAACCTTAATAGCCAATGATAAACCATAGCTGGGGATCTAAAAGGGCAATCTAAAGTATAGAGTATCCTAAAATTTTCTGCATGTAGGTTGGCTGCCATGTTTTGATAAAGCTGCTTTTGTGAAATGTAGTTGATAGAGCCATTATATATATCCACAGCTGTCACAGAGTCACTGTGAGATACCTGTAATTATAAGTTAGTTGGCATATTTGTTTACCTTAATCATACTTTCTAGGGCATAAGGAAAAGCGTGTGATTCAATAGTAACTTAAAAGTTTTGTTAAAAAGTAGTTTATGCTGAGCAGTAGTAGGTACCAGCAACTTTTGTCTTATCTGCACGTTTCCAAACTATTGTACTTGAATTTTCCTATGACATTGATTTCTAGAAAAGTGAATTTTAAAAGTGCCTGTAAATAATGTGCTGTCGCAGACCTTATGTTCCAGCTCTCACCTTTGATTTTTCGTGGGCAGGTCAGAAGCGAACTCCTAGAAGAGGGGAGCAGCAAGGATGGAATGAGAGCCGGGGGACAGAGGTGACGCTGGATAGAGCAGAACGGAGATCCTACAGGGAATATCAACTCTGTGAGACCGAGAGGCAGGCAGACTTTACACCTGAGAAGTTTACAGATGAAAAGTAAGTACTACAGACAGACCTCGTAAGAACAAATGGGTACCCAGAAGAACGGGGGAGCAGCTGTGTGCAGAGCACCAAATGTTCGCTGAAAAAGGCATGGTGCAAAATTGTTCCCTTTACATGACTCCAGAAGTGCCTGCCTCTGAGAAGTGGGAAAAAGCGGCCGAGGAGCAAGGGGAGATTTGAAGTTTAACCATTTTTTTTATTGTACAAAACATTCCAAATTTAAGTTTTTAGTATTAGAACTGGAATGGACCTTAGAGTTTCTTTATCTAACCTCCTCATTTTATAAATGAGAAAACGAGATCCAGAAGAGAAAGGGATGCCCCTCTACAAATTAGTTGAAGTCATACCCAGGACCTGCGTTTTCTCACTGGCTCCCCCACTTAGCAGCCGTATGACCTTGGGCAAGTCACCTGCCTCCTCTGTGCCTCAGTTTCCTCACCTATAGGCAATAGTTGTATATTACAGATTTGTTCGTGAGAACTAAATGACTGTATGTGAAGTGCTCAGAACAATGCCAGGGATAGTATGTGTTCAGTACAAGTTAACTATTCATTATTCAAGCTACCGTCTTTCTCATATATTATAGCCATAATGTCCTTCTAGAATTTTTTTATCTCAAAAAAAAGCCTTAGCTCTTAATCTAACTCACCGTGTTTTATTACACCCATCTTTTCTTAGACCAGTTGACAGGTTTGATCGAGACAGACCACTGAGAGGACGTGGAGGCCCAAGAGGAGGCCTGCGGAGCAGAGGCAGAGGTGGTCTGGGGAACAGAGCTTTCGATGGTTTTGACCAGAGAGGGAAACGGGAGTATGACAGATATGGCGGGAATGATAAAACGTAAGTTTCTTTGTAAATGCTATTTTCACTTTAAGATATTAGTTATACATAGTATCAATCTGTTATGTGTCTACATTTAGTTGACTTTATATTAGTATGCTGTTAACTCCTGAGGGAGCTGATCCTGGGACAGCTTTTCATGATTTTTTTTTTTTTTAATTGGGGAATCAGGGGGATGGGAACAGTGCTGGGGAATTGGGGGAAGGGGAACAGACAAGTTGCTGTCGTTTTTTTTGTTCTTCAGTCTAGCTGTGGAGGACATTGCTTCACTGGCCCAAGTAGGCACCATGATTACGCTCTTCCCGGGCAAGGCAGATCAGTCGCCGGCTTCTGGACGGCTGCTCACTGCGGCTGCTGGCCGCTCACGCTGGCTGCTGGCTACATACGGTAGCCCATGGCAACCCACTGCCACAGGGGCTGCAGCCTACGCCGTCGCCGGCGACTCACAGCAGCCCAGCTCCAGGTCGAGCTGTTGTTCAGCATCTTAGCTGTAGAGGGCAGTGTCACTGGCCCTCATATGTGGGATCCGAACCGGGGCCCTCTGGCGTCCCAAGCCAGTTCTTAACCATCGTGCCACTCGTCCGGCCCTGGGACAGCTTTCATGATCAACTTTTCTGAGTTGGAGAGTTTAAGGGAATATTTTTTTCTTTCTCCAGAGCATTGAGAACTGAAGACAACAACAAGGGTGGATATGGAGTTCGCACCTGGGGAGCAGGTAAAGAAACCAGGTATGGTGTGAATGTGTGCCTTCTGTAAACCTACAATTAAGTGGACATTTCTGGATCTTTATTTGTCTTTTGTGAAATTGCGTTGTCTGTGTTATGCTTGCAGTGTCTTTATACTTGTATGCCTTAAGTAGAGATTGATTTTAGGCTTTTGTTTAGTGAGATAACTTTTTAAAAATGGGTTTGCTGTGTTGCAATTAGATTTGAAAACTGCTTTTAAAATCTCATTTTTATCTTATTTTAGCTGAACAAATTTGTGTATTTGCTGACACCCCACGCACATGACACTATATTTGCATATGCCTCGGAATACTTTTTAAATTCCTGGATATTCTATGCTTTTTTTTTTTTTTTTGTGACCATCCAAAGTTCTTGTATACGTGGCATCTTGATTGCCTGAAATCATTTGCAGATGGAAGCTCACCTGACAAGTTTCGCCTGAGGTTCAAATTTGACATTTCTCCGAGGTGCTAGGGTGTCTCAGATCTGTGCCAGTTTTGCCCCTTAGAGGAGGTGATTGGTTCTGCTGTTCCTGTCATTTCACGGCTCCAGGGACAATGCCCTCCTGTTGCCTGCAAAGGAGCAGGCACAAAATACTTCAGGGCAGTGCCGGGTGAGGAATGGGTCACCCCAGGACATGCTGCAGGGCAGGCTTTCCACAAATAGGCATGCTTGAGCGGAACCGAGACTTCTACTGCACATCTGAGTTGTCCTTGAAAGGAAGAGAAGCTTGTTGAATGTTCTCAGTCTGGGGTTCCATAGGACCTCGATTACAAATCTTTTCATTTTGTTTTATTTTGCTGTGATAATATATTGGGTTGTCGGAAAAGCCATGATGCATCTTTGCAATGGAAAACATAGAAAAAATACGTCACAACTTTTCCACCAACCCAATATTTTAAAAAGGTAATATAGGCACCTTCTGAATCATCTGATTTACTACTTATCTAATATGACCACTACTTTTCAGTTTGCTTTTGGACTTAAAATCGCTTTGGCTCCAAGTGATTACTTACCCCAAGGGGTCAGTATTGGCCTTCTGACATGGAAAAGGTGACAGCATGTGTTCCTGGTACACTCGCGTGTCTGGTGTGAAGATTACAGGTCCCCCAGGGCATTCATTTTGGATTGGTTTGAGAGTTAATAAAGTCAGAGCTCTCAGGTGGTAATAATCTGTAATTGAAAGATTTTTGTAGAGAAAGATCTTAATTGCTTATTTAATAAGTTGAGATTTTGATTTGCCATCATGAAAACCATGTAGTAGAGTTATGTGTTACTTTATTTGTGTGTGTATGTTACTTTTGATTAATGAGAAAAGAATAGAGGTGAGCCTACCACAGTAAGTGACATGTCCATGGCTGGTGAGGCCAGATACAGCCCAGTGCAATGCAAGTGTGAGGGTTTGCTATACAAGAGGCTTAGTAGTCCTGTTTGAAGACACTGGCAGTATAACTAGATCTGTGGACAAGCTGCTTTCAAAATGGCATGACTGAGCCATTTCCGGTGTTATTGGTTTTCAGAACAGTTTGACTCAGAGAGCCTGTACTGAAAACAGAATTTTCTCCATCGGCAGTAATTTTAAAAGTATAGTGTCCCATATTATTTTCTTGTTATCAGTTGGAATAGATACCTACGAATGCAGTTTTCAGTAATTCTGCCTTCCAATTTCTATTGTGAAGAGCAAGACAGTTTTATGTGTTAGGTTGTCGGAAAAGTCATGACGCATTTTTGCAAAGAAAAGCAGAAAAAAAGTCATGACTTTTCCGACAACCCAATAGTAATTAAGCAACATTTGGTTAAAATCTGTTCACTGTCAAGGCTGATTAAGTGTGAAGTCCAATTGAATTTGAACTAGAAAACAAAGGCTTGTGTTCCACATCATTTTGTGGAACAGACTTGCCATTTTCTGTGTTAGAGTAACTGAAGTCAAAACGTAGATTGGGCCCTGGAGCTATAGCTTCCTTCAAACTAATCCAACATTGGTGATTTACTTTAAACAAAATAACAAAACCTGGGCAGCTGGTTAGCTCAGGTGGTTAGAGGGCAGTGCTCATAATACCAAGGTTGCCAGTTCAATCCCCACATGGACCACTGAGCTGTGCCCTCCACAACTAGATTGAAACAACTACTTGACTTGGAGCTGATGGGTCCTGGAAAAATACACTGTTACCCAATAAAATTTCTTTTAAAAAAAGTGATAATAAAAAAATAACAAAATCTGCCAAAATAAATTGTAGCTAATTTTGAAATTTCATTGTTTTGTAGTTTTGGTCACATGGGTCTATGAGAACTGTAAGTACATTAGTTTTATGTTTATTCATAAAATTTAGGTCAATACAGGGGGGAGATCTGTGATTTTTCTTTAAAATCAATTGATCAGATTTTTAAAATCCTGATTTTTTTACATAATCTCTGTTTTGTATTCTTTTTTCCTTCCCCTATTGTTGTAGCCCTTTTATGAATTTTAATTGTTGAAAGCTATGAACTATCAGTACACTTATGTTTTTATCCCCTTGGTTTATTACATGGCTAGGGGAATACAGAGAAAATTGGAATAATTCAGTGTTGCAGCTGCTGCTGGATGCTAAAAATTCCTGGGACCCCACCAGGTCAGGCTGATGTGCAGAGGTGGCCTTTTTGTAGGGGCCTCTGCTGGGCAGAGCAGCGATGTCCTTCTAAACATGAGTGCGTTTGATTTAGTACCTTTTTATTATTATTATTGGGGAATTTTTTCCAGGACCCATCAGCTCCAAGTCAAGTAGTTGTTTTCAATCGAGTTGGGGAGGGCACAGCTCAGTGGCACATGTGGGGATTGAACCAGCAATCTTGGTGTTATGAGTACTGTGTTCTAACCAACCTAGCTAACTGGCCGTCCCTAGGACCTTTTTTAAAAGTAAAATGTAATTATTCAAATTTTGTGTTGAAAAACTGATAAATACCAGGAAGTGCGATTACTTCTTTGTCTCTTGTTATATCCTTTGTCTTAAAATCTATTTTGTCTAGTATAAGTATTGCTACCCCAACTATTTTTGGGGTTTTTTTTTGTTTCCACTTTGATGAAATATCTTCTTCCATCCCTTTTCTTTCCCTCTGTGTGTCTTTTAGTCTGACGTCTCTTGTAGGCAGCATATTGTAGGGGTTTTCTTTTCTTATCTATTCAGCCCTCCTATGTCTTTTGATTGGAATATTTAATCCATTTACATTGAAATGGATTGTTGATAGATATGTAGCTATTGCCATTTTATTATTCATAATTTTGATCTTTTTTTTTTTTCCATCTTAAAGAAGTCCCTCTAACATTCCTTGTAATACTGGTTTGGTGGTGATGAACTCCTTTAGCTTTTTCTTATCTGGGAAGCTCTTTATCCACCCTTCAATTTTAAATGATAGCCTTGCTGGGTAGAGTACTCTTGGTTGTAGGTCCTGCTTTATATCACATTGAATATTTTGTGCCAATCCTTTTTGGCCTGAAAAGTTTCTGTTGAGAGAAATTAGCTGACAATCTTATGGGAGCACCCTTATAAATTACTAGTTACCTTTCTCTTGCTGCTTTTAGGATTATCTCTTTGTCTTTAACATTTGCCATTTTAATTATAATGTGTCTTGATGCAGGCTTGTTTGGATTCATTTTGTTTGGGATTCTCTGTTTCCTGGACTTGTATGTCTGTTTCCTTTGCCAGGTTAGGAAAGTTTTCAGTCATTATTTCTTCAAATAGGTTCTCAATCACTTGCTTTCTCTCTTCTCCTTCTGACACCCCTATGATGCGAATGTTGTTATGCTTGATGTTGTCCCAAAAGTCTCTTAAACTATTCTCTTTTTTTTATTATTCTTTTTTCTTTTGCTGTTCTGATTGGGTGTTTTCTGCTACCTTATCTTCCAAATCATTGATTCAATTCTCTGTTTCATCTAGTCTGCTGGCAATTTCTTCTAGTGCATTCTTCATTTGAGTTATTGTATTATTCACTTCTGATTGTTTTTTGTGGTTTTTTTTTATGGTTTCTATGTCCTTTTTTAAGCTTACTATCTCTTTGTTGAAGTTCTCAATAAGTTCCTTGAGTACCTTGTAACCATTGTTTTAACTCTCTATCTGGTAGGTTGCTTACCTCCATTTTGTTTAGTTGTTTTTCTGGAGTTTTTTCCTGTTGTTTTATTTGGGACACATTTCTTTGTTTCCTCATTTGGGCTGCCTCTCTGTGTTTATTTCTATGTATTAGGTGGATCTGCTATGTCTCTCAGTCTTGGCTGCACCTTATGTAGTAGGTGCCCTGTGGGGCTCTGGCATAGTCTCCCTGGTCACCTGTTCCAGGTAGTCCAGGAGTGTCCCTTGTGTGCGTTGTGTGTGCCCTCCTGTTAAAGTTGAACCTTGATTGTTATTGGCACGTCAGTGGGTGGGATTGACCCTCAGGCTGATTGGTGGTGGGGTTTGGCCATGTCCACAGCTTATGGGCTGCTGTGTGGAGGCTAACTCCCCAGAGTGGGATTCACTTCAGTGAGCTCTGGTGTCTGTTGAGACCACCCTTTGTGTGTGCTGTTTGTGGGGCTAATTGGGTGGTGCTCTGCTGTGGTCTGAAGCCAACCTCCAAGTATGTTGGTTCTGAAGCCTGTTGGGATGGGCTCCGGTACAGGTCCAGGTCACCCATTACCTATGACCGCTCAGAGACTATCTGGTAAGAGCTACAAAGTGATCTGCTGTTGTTCGCTGCCTTTGCTAAACCTGGAGGTGCATGAAAGAGGCCACACTGAACTGAGTACATCTGCCACCAGTACCGGGCCTGGAGTAGCTCTGCAAAAAGTCAGGACACCCCAAGAGCTGCTGCCACCTGCAGGCTCCCTTATGGATCAGCTGCTGATAAAGCCTCGTGCCATTCACAAGTTGGGTGAGGTGGGGTCTCAGGAGTCACTAGCAAGCCGAGCTCACCAGACCAATTCAGATTCAGATTTGGTCATGGGCATGGGGCTGGGATGGGAGCCCAACGCAGGAAAGATTACACAGGCCTGCTGGCTGCATGGGAGGAGGACCCCACACAAGGAAAATGGCAACTGTCCTTCTAGTCCTCACCCCAAACTTAGTCTCTCCCATATGTCTGTCTCATCCATGCCTCCCGAGTCACTGCCCCTCTGCCAGACCCCAGGGTGAGGGCCTGCAAGTGAGTCTGTGTGGGCCCTTTAAGAGGACGTCTGGGTTTCCCACAGCCTTCCATCCCACCTAGACAGTCAGAATCCCCACCGTTTTTCACAGCCAGATGTTGTGGGGGCTTCTCTTTCTGGTATCAGTACTCTGGGCTGGGAGCCTAGTGTAGAGCTGGGATCCCTCACTCCTCAGAGGGGAACCTCTGAAGCTGAGATATCTCCCCATTCTGTATCACCACACAGAGGTTTGGAGCCGGCCTGTTCGGCGTCTCTACCCCTCCTAGCAATCTCCACATGCCTTCTTCTTTATATTCTTAGTTATAAAACTTCTGCTCAGCCAAACTTCAGATGGTTCTCCAGATTGATTGTTCTATAATTTAGTTGTAATTTTAATGTTTTCACGGGGTGAGGCAAAGAGAGCATTTATCTACTCTGCCATCTTGCATCTGGCCTGCTGGGATTTTTTTTTTAAGCAAATTCAGATAGGATTAATATTAACATAAAAAGAAAGAATTAAGATCATATATACATATTAAAATTCAAATTGTTCATTGTGTTCTTTTCTAATCTGTAGATTATAATCTGTAGGTATATCAATTGATGTTTTAAAGCCTTATTTTTCTGATACAGTTTGTTTGTAATTCTACACACTTTTTTATGGAATGTTTTTACTTATTTTCTAAAAGTTTGTTATTACATATTCTTATCTATTATAAGTCATTTAACACTTGTAGGTTGAGATTTTTTATGGCCCCTTTTAATATTGGGAATTTCCTAAGATAATAGTTTCGAATAATTCTTCTGGTCTTTTACAATCTATTTTTTATTTTAGGGCATTCATGGAAACTTATTTCTCAAAGTATTTTTTACATTTGTGGAACTAATTTATATGGACTAGCAACTAAGAGCATTTTCTCTTTTTCATTTTGATGTGGATTACCTATATGTGTATATAATTCCTTGAAGGATATTTACTTAACAAAAAGGACATTGAAATATGTTTTTTTGTATCTTGAATATCTAAGAGAATTGATGTGAATGAGTTTATGTGACTAGAGTGGTTCTCATTGCTTTTCAGTGATGTGGAGCCAGCTGTGCTGATGGAGGAGACTTCGGTGGTGGAAGAGCCCCCAGGTCCCCTCGAGGAGGGGTCTCCAGCCAAGTAGGTGTTTCATTCATTTTCTCCATTGGGTAGGTCTTTTCCTTACCAATTTCTAAGAGTCCTTCACAGAGTAGGAAGTTCAGCCTTTTGTCATATCACAGACTTTGATCTACTTAATGTATTAATGAATAATCAAACTAATTAATAATTCAAATAATCTAATGAATGATTATTAATTATAATTAATAGGTTAAATTGAAGTCTTTGGTCCTGTGCCCACAACCTGTTTTCTATCAGCAACCTGTACTGTGACTATTCTCTCTCTTGTTGGGACCTCCTTCTCTTGTCCCTTTATTCTCTCCCAGTATCTCCTCCCTCTTTTCTTTGTGGCGCTAACATCCCTGCTCCATCTCTAGCACTTTTTTTTTTTTTTAAGATTTTATTGGGGAATTGAGGGAGGGAACAGCGTTGAAAATTGGGGAAGGGGAACAGACAAGTTGCTGTCATTTTGTTCTTCAGTCTAGTTGTGGAGGACGTTGCTTTCACTGGCCCAAGTTGGCACCATCATTGCACTCTTCCTGGGTGAGGCAGATCAGTCACCGGCTTCTGGACGGCCGCTCACAGCGGCTGCTGGTCACTCATGCTGGCTGCTGGCTACACCCGGTAGCCTATGGCAACCCACTGTAACAGGGGCTGCAGCCTACACGGTCGCAAGCGACTCACGGCAGCCCAGCTCCAGGTTGAGCTGTTGTTCAGCATCTTAGCTGTAGAGGGCAGTGTCACTGGCCCTCATATGTGGGATCCGAACTGGGGCCCTCTGGCGTCCCAAGCCAGCTCTTAACCATCGCACCACTCAGCTGGCCCTCCATCTCTAGCACTCTTGCCAAGTCTTTAAACTTCCTTACTGCTTGGATTTTTGTTGTACCTTGCTAGCAGTTAGCCTCCTGGATGACGACTAGCTATCTGCATTCTCTCTACCTGCACACACAAGCTGAGCACTGAAAGTCACACAGTGAGGCCGATGGGAACCCCTATAATTGCCTGATCATCAGCATTCTGAAATGGGCCCTCAACACTGCCCGGCAGTCCCCATTTCTTGGGTTCACTCTTTCTCTCCCCCACTACAATGACTGATTTAATCCTTCTTGTCTCTTCAAAGCCCTGACACTGCCCCTCCCCACCCACATACACACACACATTTGCCCACACCTCCTTTCATTTTCTAGATACAGCTTTTCTCCCTGTATCACAGAGAAATTAGTACCATACATGGGAACTTCATCACCTTCCCACTTCCAAAGGGTCAAACCTGCCTTCACCTGTGTGCCTCCCAGCCTCCTTCCCTTGTAGTAAATGGAGGTACCATCTCCCCTTCCACCTCTTCAGGCCTTGGATCCTGTTTCCTGCTGACTTCATAGAACCTTCACACTGTACTTAGCTCCTCCCTTTTTAGGTATACTCACCTCCTTCTTTCTAACTCTGGTCTTCCAATCAACATGTTAAACATGCTCAATTTCTACCATTTTAAATCTTCTCCCCTTGCCCCACATTCTTAATTAGCTACCTTTTTCAGAGTTGTGTACCCTTTCTGCCTTTCCTCCCCTTTCATTTAATACTCACTTCATTCTAGGTCTGGCTCTGTCCTTATTGCCCGTCTGAAACAGGCAGCACATGTCTCCAGGCCTAATGGATGTTTGGTCCATGTCATTCTTGACCTCTCAGAGCATCTATCTTATTGATTTCTTCTTAAGCGTACCCTACCATTGGCTTCTGTTTTCCTGCACTCTTCTGGCTTTCTTTCTGCCTCCCAGCTACTTCTGCAGACTCATCCTTGTCTTTCTGGTCTTTTAAAATATTGAGTTCTTCAGAGCGCTGCCTTAGGCTTTCTTCTCTTTTTCTAGCATCTCTTTATAGGATCTCATGCACCATGCAGCTTGAGTTGTCATTTATACGCTGACTCCAGCCTTTGGCTCCAAACTTCAGCACGGACCCCAGGCCCATGTATCCACCTGCCTGCTGGCCACCTGCCCTTGGACATCCCAAATGCTCTCCCCGCACAGCATCTGCAGAACTGAGTCCAACACCTGCCGTCCTCATTAGGTGTTTCCAGCTTGTGGAACAGCCTTACCATCCATCCAGCTGCACGAGCCAGAAACCTAGGAGTCATCCCTGAAACCTCCTTCTTCTTTGACCCCCTCTCTTCCCCAAATCCAGTCTGTTACTCTGCCCTGGTGATTTGTACCTTCTAATATCCACCGCCTCAACTCACCACCATAGTCTCAGCAGTGTCATCTGATCTGTCACCATAGCTCCTAACAGGGCTCCCTGCATTTTTACCGTAACCCGCTCGTTGCCATAACAAAGTAGCTTTCACACTGGCAATCTGATTGCCATGCCCCGATGCCTTGGGTTAGACCTTGGGTGGCTTCCTTTTTCTGTTCCTTGTACTGACCTACATGGTCCTACGTGATCTGGCCCCTGCAGAGCTCTTGTGCCTTCTGTGGTTCACCAGGTGGCCCTTATTTTATGTTTCCAAATACCTTTCTTCTGCCCCTACCTCCACACCTGCCATAGAGCTTTTGCAAGTACTATTTCCTCTTGTTTCTGTACCTCTTCTCCAAACCCCCTTCCACCCTTCATCTATCTAACTCTTACTCATCCTTCAGCTGCCAAGAGGCAGGTTGTCTGGTGGTTAAAAGCATAGATGCCAAGCCAGTATGCTGGGTTCAAATCTCAGCTCTGCAAGTTAGTAGTTTGGGCAAGTTATCTAATCTCTTTGTTCCTCGGTTTTCTTCATCTGTAAAATGTGAATAATAATAGGACCTACATCAGAGGGTTGTAAGGATTGTTTGGGTGTGTGTATGTGTGTCATGTAGAGTGGGGCCTGGCATGGAGTTAGTGCTATGTAAACATCTGCTGTCATTATTGTTACTTGTTGCAAGAGTAAAATGCTACAATGATTGATGATTATTAAAGCTGTTAATTTATCATTCAAAACAACTAAGAAATGCATTTAATTAAAGAAATAGATTAATAGTTAATATGAATATGTAGACAGTGTGTTAACTAAGGAAATGGGTTAACAGTGTATATGAATGTTGAGAAAGTGAGTTAATAGATACTTTCAGGAAAAATTATATCCTTTTTAAGCCAATAAACCATTTGTACAAATTCAGATAACATAAGGCAGAATAATAGAGCATAAATTATAGCATTATTCTAATCTATAGAATTGATCGAGGTACTCTAGCATTGATAATATTAGACAAAATCATTCTTTCAATTATCAGTTACTCTAAAAGACAAAATAATAATTATTGGTGGCAATCTCACTGTCTGTAATATCCTAGCAGAGCCGGCCAGCAAATCCTCTCTTTTCTGCTGACAGTGAGCATCTGGTTAGGATAGCTGGAGCTGCCCCATAGAGCAGCTGAGTGGCAGACTGTGCTGAGAAATTCTTATTTCTGCACTGCCTTGTCAAATGTTAAAATTATTAGTAAAATTTCTAATAATGCAGTTATAATTTTTTGGTGATTTCAAAATTAGGCTTGTATGTGAGAAGTACATTGGAGAATGGTGATGCTTTCTCATCTTGGCTTTGTCTGATGTATATTCAGTGCACCTCTTGGTTTAGAACTTCTTGATAGATTAATTTAATGTATAAGTTGTATAATTGGGGTTTTATACTTAGGTCTATGACCTATCTTTTTTAAAGTAATATGTATTTATTTGATCCATTTTGAGCTGATTGTTAAATATGGTGTGAGATATGGATAGACATTCCCCCCTTTTGTATATGCATATCCAGTTATTCTAGCACATTCAACACCATTGTTGAAAATCAGTTGTCCATGTATGTGTGAACCTAGTTCTGTACTGTCTACTTTGTTCTAGTGTTCTTTCTATATTTCACTAATGTCACATTATCTTGATTACCCCTGTATTTTTTTTTTTTTTTTAAGATTTTTATTGGGGAATTGGGGGAAGGGGAACAGACAAGTTGCTGTCGTTTTGTTCTTCAGTCTAGTTGTGGAGGACGTTGCTTCACTGACCCAAGTTGGCACCATCATTGCACTCTTCCCAGGCGAGGCAGATCAATCACCAGCTTCTGGACGGCCGCTTACTGCGGCTGCTGGCCGCTCACGCTGGCTGCTGGCTACACATGGTGGCCCATGGCAATCCACTGCCACAGGGGCTGCAGCCTATGCCATCGCTGGCAACTCACGGCAGCCCAGCTCCAGGTTGAGCTGTTGTTCACCATCTTAGCTGTAGAGGGCGCAGCATCACTGGCCCTCATGTGGGATCTGAACCGGGGCCCTGCTGCCCAGAGCTGGGGTCCCAAGCCAACTCCTAACCGACGTGCCACTCGGCCGGCTCTCCTCATTCCTTTTTAAAACTGTCTAATATCTGTAATTTTACACCAAAATACCCTCTAGGTGATCTTGGGTTGTTTCCAGTATTTTACTATTACAAGTTTTAATGTCTTTTCAGATTTTTGCCAATATTAGTTTGGGATATGTTTTAGTATTAGTATTTTCCAACATTTCCTTATGAAAAATTTCAAAAACAGCAAAATTTAAAGAATTTTACAATAAACACTTATACTCACCAGCTAAACTGATAATTTATTTATTGTGAAATGTACAAAGCTAAGTGTACAGTCATTGTTTTGACAGATACATATATTTTTGGGACACAAACTCCTGTCCAGATATAGAATGTTATTATTATCCTAGAAAGTTCCCTCATGATTGTTCTGAGGCAACCACTGCTTTGATGTTTTTTCTGCCATCGGTTTGGTATTTTAAAGTCACTTTACAAATGTGTCTATTTCGGGGCCGGCCGAGTGGCTCAGTTGGTTAAGAGCTCGCTCAAGAGTGTGAGCTCTGAGCAACAGCGGTTCGATGCCAGCCGGAGCTGAGCAGCTGCTAAGCTACCAATAGGTAGCAGGATGGCTCAGCTAAAAAAAAAAAGAAACAAATGTGTCTATTTCGGATCCTCTGTGATTAGGTTTCTCTCCTGATGGTGCTTATATTTTTCATATTGTTAACTGGTAATCTAGAATCTTAAATTACACCAGCTCTTCAGTGAAGGGATTCTAGACTTGATTCCCTTCCTGCTCCCCATCTAATGATTTCTTTCTTTTAGACCTTATTGAGATATAATTCCTGTACTATACAATTCAGCCATTTAAACTACAGTTCAATGGTTTGGGATATATTATTGAGTTTTTAAAAATTGTGGTAAAGTATATACAACATAAAAATTGCCATTTTAACCATTCTCAAATGTCCAGTGTAGTGGCATTAACTGCATTCCCATTGTCTGTAACCACCACCACCATCCATCTCCAGACTTTTTCATCGTTGCAAACAGAAAGTCTGTACCCATGAAATAATAACTTCCCATTCCCCTCCCCTCATTCCCCGGCTATCATTAATCTGCTTTATGTCTCTATGAATTCACCCTTCCTGGATAGTTCATATAAATAGAATCATACATAAGCTTTTTGTACCTGACTTATTTTACTTAACATAATATTTTTAAGGTTATTCATATTGTAACATGTATCAGTACTTCATTTCTTCCCATAGCCAAATAATATTCTATAATATAGGTATACCATATTTTACTTACCATTTATCAGCTGATAGACATTTAGGCTGTTTCTACTTTTTGGCTAGTATAAATAATGCTGCTATAAACAGCATCATTGAATGCTTATGTGATTCTTGTTTGAGTTTTCACGTGGACACATGTTTTCATTTCTCTTGGGTATATACTGAGGAATGACATTGCTAGGTCAGATGGTAACTTTATGTTTAAATTTCTGAGGAACTGTCAGATTGTTTTCCAGAATGGACACACCATTTCATTTTCCCACAGCAATGTATGAGGTTCTAATTTCTTCACATTCTCACCAACACTTTTTATATGACCCCTTGATTCTAACCATCCCAGTGAGTGTGGAGTGGTGTAAGTTGTTGTGGTTTTGATTTGCATTTCCCTAGATAGCTAATGATGTTGAGCATCTTATTGGCTATTTATAGACTTTTTTTTTGGGGCGGGGGAGTGCTCAGAACCTTGCCTGTTGTTTGGTTGGGTCATTCTTTTTATTGAATTGTAAGAGTCCTTTATGTATTCTACAATAGATGTAAGTCCCTTAACAGATATATGATTTGCAAATATTTTCTACCATTGTGTGGGTTGTCTTTTTACTTTTCTGATGGTATCCTTTGCAGCACCAAAGTTTTCACTTTGGTGATTTCCAGTTTATTTGCTTTTTCTATTGTTGCTTGTGCTTTTGGTGTCATATGTAAGAAACTACTACCTAATCCAAAGTCACGAAGGTTTATGACTATGTTTTCTACAGTTTTATACTTGCTGCTCTTATATTTATGGTGTGAAGTAGGGGTCCAGCTTCATTCTTTTGCACATGGATATCTTGTTTCCCCAGCACCATTTCTTGAAAAGACTGTTCTTTCTCCTTTTGTCTTTGGCACTCTGGTCCAAAAAAAATCAATTGACCATAAATGTAAGGGTTTATTTATGGACTTTGGATTCTATTCCATTGATCTATATGTCTACCTTCTGTTTTCTTTTTAAAACTTATGAATTTAAAGAGGATATTTACTAAAGTATTTATTTGTGGCCCACTGTTTTATAACCTCTGTTCATGGTTTCCTGTATTTGTTCTGTCTCGGTAGCTTCTCCCATGTTCTTCTGCAATTATCTCATTTTATGTGTAATGCCACCTGGGAAGGGAGTGCTGGTGATAAAGTGCAATGTCAATGTCATTGGGATGGTGATGTTCCTGTTTTTTGAAGACTGCTTTGAACACAGATAGGAAGTATCTTTGATTAGCAGTGATGGCATAAAATGATAATAAAATAAAGAAGCTTATACCTTATTTTCATACCTTATTTAGATTTGAGATTCAGTGCCATGAAAGTATGTCAAACTAATGGTTATGACTTTTTATTTGAGAAAATAGATATTTCAGACCCATCAAAAATTATTCTTTGTGATTATACTTTATAGAGTTCCTGAGTTGGAGGTAGAAGAAGAAACTCAAGTTCAAGAGATGACCCTAGATGAGTGGAAAAATCTTCAAGAACAGACCAGACCAAAGCCGGAATTTAACATCCGGAAACCTGAGTCCACTGTCCCTTCCAGAGCAGTGGTGATACACAAATCTAAATATAGAGATGATGTAAGCATGATGTTTTGTATCTGGAGGTAATCTTCACTGTTACATTATTGGAAACAAAATGGGTCTTCCCACTTGTATTTTGAAAATGGAACGTTAGTAGTTGGCATTCTAATTTCTACCTAGAGTAATTGAGATGATGTGTGCCTAATTTTACTGTATCTTTATTGTGAAATAATTGAATCTTGACCTGTTGACACAATACAAAGCAGTAATAGTGACTGAATTTTCTGCTCACCCCAGAACTGGGTGGAGAGTGTACAAATACTGTATGTTAATTGCAGTTCATTTTTTGTCTCAAAAGAGAGGTACAGAATGTTTTGTGAATGATGCCATTTCAAAGGATGACTACTGTGCATTCCATGATTAGATTACCTTCAACTCTAATTCTTAGTAAGAGCATTTGATTGGGAGGGATTGATCATTTTAAACCAACTGTGCTCTGAGATGCCTTTCTTGTGTTACTGCAGCAGCTTTGCCCCCTTTGGGAAACTACTGCTGAAACTCAGAGGAGGATCCCGGAAGAGACTGGCGGCATAGGCAGGCGCCGCTAGAGCAGCCTCCTGTCCAGTCATGACGGCTAACAGCGCCTCTCATGAGGGCCTTACTCTTCATGGTTCATGTTCTCTTTATTGGATGCCTCAGCTCTGAAAATATCTGCCAGCATATATTGACAGGGATGGTCAGAAGTCATTTAATTACATTCTGTTGGAAGTTACTGAATTTAAGGGTACATTGAAGCATTCTAATTTTAAAATTTGTAATTTGCATCATTCGGTCACAGCTGTTTATCTTGATACTAGTCTCTGTGTCAGTTGTGGTGATGAGCAAATTCTTCCTCTCCACTAGATATTATTCATTGATTTTCTGTTTGAAACTCAGGAATTTTGTACTATGTAGATTTGTCTATATTCCCACTTACACTTTGGTTAGTTGCATTCTTTGAATGAACACTCTCATCAGAGTTTCATTTATGATACAGGATGCCCTCCCACCTCCCTGTTTTGGTCACTCCAAGTTCTTAGAGGCCTTACAAGTCAGCTTTGAGTTGTTCCACTGGAAATGGCTTTTTGTACACAGGGGATGCCAGAGCCTTATTCTCCTGGAAATCTCTGAGAAGTTTTTTGGTTTTTGTACAAGTCCATCAGTTAGCTGGCTGAGTTGGTTCTTTTCCTATCCACTTTCTTTATTCTTTTTTGTTCTGGGCAACTGTAAAAAAGCCTTGCTGAAAACAAATGTGCTGTCAGGATGGGAAATGTGCAGCTGACATATTAGGTAAAAATAGAAACTGCTCTTCCTTAATCCACACCAGATTCATCTTCCCTGGCCCCCGGAGAGCGGTCTCCTGGAGTATTTGGAGCAACTGGGGCAGCTGAGTCATCGAGCTTAGTCTCAGTAAAGCACACATCTTTGGTCCTTGTTAATCTTATAGCATTGAAGATTTTAGCCAGGATTGGTCTGAAAGCAAAATAAGCCAAATCTTGGGGTGACTAGTTTACATTGTTCTGGGCACCCTAAGAGACAGAAGCTCTAGAATAATACCTCTCGTTTGCTTGGACTGCCGTTGTTTGCCAAGTTCAGACCTCACAGTAGCCTATGCATAGAGCTGGGCCCTTAAAGCACTTTGGCCCCTGACAGCTCACTCAGCATCCATTGCCCTCTGCCCCTCCTTACTGGGAAGGCACCACCTCTGTCCTGCTGCCCGTTGTTTTCTAAACCAGGAGACTGTGGTTTGTTATTTTGCCTCTTACTATTTTTTTACAGGCATCTTCACTAGAGTGCCAGAGCTCCTGAATTGTCCTCTCCTTCACCTTTTTAGCTTCAAGAGTCTATCTACCTAAAGCCTCTGCTTTATTTTAATCTGAAACTTTGAAGGGGACACGAGTGTTAAACATAAAACCTGTAATGAACATAAAGGGGTTGATGCTCCGGGAAGTTTGATTCCATTTCCTGGATAAGTTGTAGGAACATTTAACCTTACAGCACTTTGGAGATTATCATCCAAGATCACTGGCATATTTTCTGTAGGTTTATATTTTACTTAAAAGTGAGGGTTTTGTTCAATTCAGAATTGAAGCTAAACCTAATTTGGAGATTTTTTAAAATATAGTTTTAATAAGAGACAGAATTTGACATCTTACAATAAAATGTACTTTCTCAAAAAATTTTAAAGCAGGACCGGCCGAGTGGCGTGATGGTTAAGAACTGGTTTGGGATGCCAGAGGGCCCCAGTTCGGATCCCACATATGAGGGCCGGTGACACTGCCCTCTACAGCTAAGATGCTGAACAACAGCTCAACCTGGAGCTGGGCTGTGGTGAGTCACCGGCAACGGCGTAGGCTGCAGCCCCTGCTGCAGTGCATTGCCATGAGCTACTGTGTATAGCCAGCAGCCGCTGTGAGTGGCTGTCTAGAAGCCGGCGACTGATTTGCCTCTCCCGGGAAGAGCACAATGATGGTGCCAACTTGGGCCAGTGAAGCAACGTCCTCCACAACTAGACTAAAGAACAAAAGGACAGCAACTTGTCTGTTTCCCTTCTCCCAATTCCCCAGCGCTGTTCCCATCCCCCAATTCCCCAATAAAAACCTAAAAAAAAAAAAAGTGTTTAAAAAAAAAATTTTAAAGCAATTCTTAAAAAGCAGTTGCGTCCAGAAGCCGGCGACTCATTTGCCTCGCCCGGGAAGAGCGCAATGATGGTGCCAACTTGGGCCAGTGAAGCAACGTCCTCCACAACTAGACTAAAGAACAAAAGGACAGCAACTTGTCTGTTTCCCTTCTCCCAATTCCCCAGCGCTGTTCCCATCCCCCAATTCCCCAATAAAACTAAAAAAAAAAAAAAAAAAAGCAGTTGGGAGTTCTTTCCGTGGCGTTGGTAGCAACCCTTAGATAATCACATTCTGTTGTTTTACCATTTCTATATATTTTGAGTCAGAATTGTTTATTGAAAATCATGCAGTTTTTAACATATGGTATTTGTACAGTCTACCCACATTGACAGGAGTTTCTCCATCAAGTTCTATTCTAGGAAGGGGATGTTTCCTTATTTATCAAAGTAGCACTTGTGAACAAATAAAACAAAAGGTAGAAATTAGAACTTTTTAATCTCAGCAGAATACACTCAGATATAAAACACTTATCAAAATTACTATTAGTCATGTCAAGTCTTACATCTTAACCTGATAAGACAGTTCGTCTCACTTGAAGTAATAGTAAGGTCAAAGATGTTTGGATTCATTCAGACAGTGAATGCGAGAATTCGTGGCGTGAAATGTGCAGAACCCCTGCACTGGAACCAGAGCAGCACTGCCATCTTCTTGTGCCCAGCCCTGGAGCCAGTGCCAGTGACACGTCAGGGGGGCCACTCTCCCGCTGTGACACCATCTTAGCTCCCTCGCAGCACACAGCTAGCACACTGAGCGGAATAAGTGTCCGTGGAGATGGCTGTGTGTGTTTGATGCTGTGACTGTGTTTCAGATGGTAAAGGATGACTATGAGGATGATGCCCACGTATTCCGGAAAGCAGCCAATGACATCACATCCCAGCTGGAGATTAATTTTGGTAACCTCCCTCGTCCCGGGCGCGGAGCCAGAGGTGGCCCACGGGGAGGCCGGGGAAGGATCAGACGGGCAGAGAACTATGGACCCAGAGCAGAAGTGGTGGTAAGTGTTTGTATTCTAAATCCTGGATGGTTTTCTGAAGGATGTGAGAGGGTGCCCTGGGCCTACACTCTAATTTTGGAGGGTCACCAGTTCCTGTCGTGGATTTCTCCTCTCATGTGGGTCTGATGTTGAGGCATTTGGAACAGTGAGGTCTGCATCATGGACATCAGCTGGATACAGACCATTCTGTAACTCTGGCCTCAGGATCTCCAGGGAGGGCCATTGTCTGCCCTGAAGATGCACTTGGAGCCAGAGAAAACTCACTCACCTGCATCAGACGCGATACCCAGGCTTGCGATAGAGTCAGATCACCTGAAGGCTGCTTACTCAGCATGGTCTGCTTGTATGCCCTGTACACGTATGGTGCTTTCAGCACAGACAGAACCCTCCATGCTCACTTCTCCCCTCACACTGTTCTTCCCCGCTTCCTCAGCAGCGCTGCTGTACCTCGCGTTCTGCAGACAAGCTGCTGCTTGGCCCAGGGGCCCTGCCTGCTGCCCTAGTACAGCTCCTCCAACTGTCCCTGCTCACAAAAGGCTTCTTTGATCCCATTTCCTTCCAGACCAGGTCAGAGTCGGAGAGCACGGAATTTTACTTCTCTTTGAAGCATTATCTCCATTTGTAATTGTTCTCACTGGTGTGATTATTGATCATGTCTGCCATCTGCGGTGGACGACAGCAGTCACGGCTGCTTTTGCTCATTATACATTTCCTCAGGGCCTACCTAGCACAATGTAAGCATGTAGTGTCTTTTCCTGAGTGTCTTTTTTTTTTTTTAAAGGTTTTATTGGGGAATCGGGGGAGGGGAACAGACAAGTTGCTATCCTTTTGTTCTTTAGTCTAGTTGTGGGGGACGTTGCTTCACTGGCCCATGTTGCTATTATCATTGCGCTCTTCCCCGGGTGAGGCAGTCGCTCACCGGCCATTGGATGGCCGCTCATGGAGGCTCACGCCAGCTGCCGGCCAGCCCCACTGCAGCCTACACCGTCGCCAGTGACTCATGGCAGCCCAGCTCCAGGTCGAGCTGTTGTTCACCATTTTAGCTGTAAAGGGTGCAGCATCACTGGCCCTCATGTGGGATCCGAACCAGGGCCCTGCTGCCCAGAACTGGCGTCCCAAGCTAACTCTTAACCAACACGCCACTCGGCCGGCCCCCTGAGTGTTATGAACAAATACATGAAAACCTGTTTCGTGGGAATTGAACACCAGACCCTGTGGCCAGTGTGGGCTGCTGCGGAGTCCCTTTGCCGATGGAGCAGGAGCAGCCCTTCTCTGTGGTTGGCCTTGGCAGTGTCCCTTTTGCTGCCTGATTCCCTCGCTCTCAGGAGCAGCCCCTGGGGTGGGGTTGGGGGTGGGGTGGGGGGGCTACAGACTGCTGTACTTAAGCAAGAGCAAAAGCCCGCCTGCACTCTTCCAGCTCAGAGCTGCCCTCAGGCCCCCACCCCCTCCATGGTCAAGTTGCACTGTTTCAGAATCTGTGTTCTTTCCTCATTCACTGACACTTATCTCTGGGAGAACCCACTCTTCCAGAAAAACCTTCCCTGACTGAAATGTGTATTTTGCCACCACATTGCTTTGGAAACCCATACCTTGGGCCCCATTCCCAGGGCATCTGTTACTGAAGTCACCACTCTGTAACTTTCTCGGTGTTTCTTCCCGTCACCGTGAGCTCCTCGAATTTGAAGCTGTAACCATCCTTATATCTCCATATAGTAGACATTCTATCATGTTTATTGGGTGCAGGAAGTCCAGATACAAAAAGGGTCACTCAGAAGGGGTTTGTGGGAGAAGGCAGAGGCACCGCTCCGCATTGCAGCTGAGGCAACTCCTCAGCTCCGTGATCCTGTAACTTTCCTCTTCCACTGGGGCCCTGTCTGTCCCTCAGTGTTTGGGCTACCCTCCCCTAGGTGGGAGCAGACACCACATCTCACACTGTGCTCTGCCCAAGTAGGAATGGGTAAAATGACACTTGATTTCAAAACTTTTGTTTTTCAGACGCAAGACGTTGCTCCAAACCCGGATGACCCTGAAGACTTTCCTGCTCTGGCTTGAGCCCTATTTCCCTGGCAACCTAGAACAGCATTGCCTTCCCGATAGAAAGACTTCTTGCTGTGGGGAAGAGATTCAGACTCTAAGAACAATAGATGTTGCTTTTCCCCCCATGTAGTGTGAATCCATTGTATTTTTTTGGCCTTGGTGGGAGAGCAGTTTCTCCAGATACTCAGAGCAGCAGTTTCAGTCAGGGGTTAGTCTGGCACTTTCCCAGGAAGGTGGAGAATGGAGATTATTTTTTTATTTAAGAAATTCCAGATGAAGTTCAGAAATAATGTTTAAAATGTGTACATAGAGATTGTAAACTAGAATCTATTGTCTACTTAGTAAGTTGTACAGATATTAATAGGAAGTCTGTCCTTTAGTGTTAGAGGAAACACATGTAACTCAGACCATTAATGTAGAGTCATAGCCCAGTTTTCAGAGACCAAGAAATTAAAATATAATTTTATTTACTGTTTACTGTAATTGTTATACTCTCCTGGGATTTTTTTAAATTCTGCTTTTCATTTAACCAATTATTTTAATTATTAATTAATTAATTTATTTATTTATTTAATTTTAAGGAGGGCACAGCTCACAGTGACCCATGCGGGGATCAAACCAGCAACCTTGGTGTTATCAGCACCATGTTCTAACCAACTGAGCTAACCAGCCACCCCATAACCAATAATTTTAAAGAGCTATTATGTAGCCACTGGTTACCACTCTGACAGAGAATTAGGGAAAGTTTTTATTTATTTTTTTAATGGTGACTTAAACTACCTCGTGGTTTCTGTGTATGTACACACACACATACACACACGATTAGTATCAGTGTGCATACCTAGTGTTTGAGTGGTTTTTAGGATATTACGTATATGATTTTTAAAATCACATTATTTAACCCATCAATCAAATAAAAAGGGGTCCAGGTGAAAGAGCGTTGCAGCTCAACACCATATCCTTTTCTCCATCGAAAACAAGTGTGGGAATTCAGAGCCTGTGTACAAAGGCCTTCTGTCCTTGTCCTGGGCAAGACTTGTAAATAACTAATATTTATTGAACACCTACGTGCAGTTTTTCTCCCTCAGTCTTTGCACTAGTTTGAGTTCCTATTTCTTGCCTTTGGTGAATGTTTGGGGTTAGGGGCTGCCTCAGAGGCTCAGTAATTCTCCGAGTCCAACCCTAACCAGCAGAGCCCACGCTCTCTCTCAGCCGGAAAGTTTTAGTGCTGGAGTGGGGGCTGGGCAGAGGTAGCTATAGCAGCTGCTGGAAGCTGGGGTAATGCTTTCCCCACTTGACTGATGAAACTGCTGGTAACATTTGCCTGTTGTCAGTTGTTAATATGCTTGTTAGAATTTGAACTTTGGTCCCAGGATCTGTACTTTTTCCCACTTCACTATACTGTCTAAGATGGCTCTGAACTTGAACCCAAGTGTAAATAAAGGTTGGTATTTCCTCCTAACTTTGTGTATATAAAGCTGAATCGTGTTGGTCACACCCAGGTCCAGAGATAAGAATGTGGGAAAAGGCCCCAGGTTGAGTCACATTTTGTTGAAAAACCAGAACCCTAGCCATGGGACTTTCACTGAGTGACAGCCTAATTTTGGTCTTATTATTAATATCCAATATTAACTGATTGTTTTATTCTCTCTCTGTGGAAAAGATAATGGAGTACCCTAATCTAAGTGAAGAAGTCTTGGGAGGGTGAATGTCAGGTTCAGCCATAATAATCAGCTGCTGCAACACGAAGCTGTATCTTTACTCAGCAGGCGTGAAGCTGTCATACTAAGTCATTTTGCCTTGTCTTGGCTTTGAGGATTGGCTAAACTGAGATCCCTTTCAAGAAAAAGCCGTGTTGTGAATAACACTTGAAAAGCCCATAGCGCTAAGTTTAATGTTATGTTTGCCAGCCAACACTGCAGCCTTCCCAAACACACTGAAGATTCCTGAATCCTGGAGCAGTATTGAGTCCTGGGGCTGAAGTTTTGGGGGACAAGGTAGTTCCTGAGCCTGTAGAGGGCTTCGTTTGTGCACAAGCGCTACTTCACCAGTGTGGGTTTTTGTCACGTGGTTGTCGGCAGTCCAGTTCTCCAGGAAGACAGAGCAGAAGCAACGGGTTAACGTGCTGTAGGGAAAATGAGGAGGCAGGAGGATTATGTCCTTGGACCTACACAGAAGGCAAGACCGTCCCCACCATTGCAGGGAGAGTGGGGAGGTTTCCTCCCAGACTCCTTTGAGGGGCTTGTGTGTAGACATGTTGTCATGAGGCAGGGCACGGTTCTGGCTGGTAACAATACTAAGGAAATTAACCCCACAAAAGAAAAACTTGGCGGCCTGAAATACTCTTGGAAAGCAGAGGTCAAGCATGTTTGAATTCCAAGGGCAGGTGTGCCAGCCCCAAGCCTGATTTGGATCCCTGTTCCACCAGCTCACTGCTGGATCTCAGGCTGCCAGGGCAGCAGCCAAAGACAGAGCAGGGCTGAGATGTCCCCGAGCCTGCAGCTGGGAGAGTCCCATAAACAGGAAGGTGTGACCCCTGACAGCTGTCATCTCTGCATATCTAACAAGGTCTGGGAAGAGGCGCACTTGTTCCAGAAGCTGCTGCCAGTTGGGATGGCGTCAGGAAGGCTAACCCCACGCACTGGGTGGTGGTCATGTCAGGCCAGGCATCTTTAGCCTAATGATAAGCATTTGACATTTTCATCCCATGCAAGGCAGGCCCCTTAGAGGCCGAGAAGCCATAATAGGCACCCCCTTTTCTAGTGTTCGTCACTGGTTCAGGATCTTTCTCTTCTGTTCACTAGCTTCTGCATGCCATCCCAGTGCACAGGTGTTTCCGAGGTGAAGGCATTGCTTTTCCTGTGAAACCACACCATGTTGGCAAGTCCTATGGAGCACCTGGACCTGGGTCTGGGTCTGAGCTGGAAAGGGTCAACCCCTAGAAATAGGAACTGTCCTCTCCACAAAGAGCCACGCTGCCAGCAGTGGGCCCGTCTGCCCTCCCTCTCAGCATCACCCAGCCAGGTAAGCAGAGTCTCACTTTGAGAAAAGATCACATTTTCCTTTTGCTGCTGCTGTTGCTGTCTCCCCTCAGCCTCTGTGAGGATCACGCTGTGTGAACAGCCACCCAGGGGCTGGTCCCCCTCTCCAGGTCCTCCCTGACAGCAGCCAGGCCAGCCCTTGGGCAGCTGGTACCACTGCCTCCAGACGTGCCAAATGTGTGAGGTTTTGCCTGGCTCTCTGTCCCAGACAGGCCTGTATTTATGTGGTAAAGGGAACAAGGAAGGAAAAAAGCAGGCACTTAAAACAACTCTTTATTATAAAATACAATACGGGTAAAAGTGCAAAACTTCTTATAACCACCACCTAAGTCAGGAAACCGATGTCCCCAGAAGCCTGTCCGTTGTGACCGAGCCCACCACAGCCTCCCCTCCCTCTGAAGGGAGCCACTGCCCCAGGGTACACCCCTAACATCACAGCTTTGCCCTTTTATCTGGACATCTTTCTAAGTGTGAAGGACGCCCCTCTGCCCTTACTGTAGAAACTGAGTAACTTGCGGAAACGAGCATTTCTTGAGTGGCTGCTGTGTACTGGCTTGTAATTGTCTCATCACTTCAGTCAGGGAACAGGGAAGGACATCTGTCTTCCCACAAAGAAGCTCCCCAGATAGTATTTGGGCAGGGATGGGATGAGGAGATCAGGCAGAAAGAAGATTCAGTGCCCCGGCCTCATGTTCTTTCTACACATGCCTGAAATTTCCAATCCCTTGGGCAAATCTGCTAGGAGACGGACAGGGAAAAACCAGAGGACATGTACCCCAGGGACCAAAGGAGCCACACAATATGTGCTGCTGTGCTCGGCCACTCCCTGTGGAAAAGCAGCGAATTATGGTGACCCTGCAACACCAGGACCACTGGCAGTGGCAGCCTGAGTGAGTCTGTCCCAAAGCATGATGGGAATAGCAGTGTTCTCGGAAAGCTTTATGAAGTCTCCTGCACAGGTGGAGATGGCAAGACTCGAGAGGCCACGGAGACTATCTTCAAGGTCGTCAGCAAGGCACTGGTGGAGACAAGAACATATGCTTTGCTCTCCTGGGGCCTCACGGGGGCTTAAGGGCAGCGCGCTCCTGATGATCCCCAGGCCCTTGTCCTTGGCCACAGGGTTTCCTGTGACTCAAGGCAATAGGACTTGCCCCAACCAAACCACAATGGCTCTCGAAGCCATCGCAGCTCTACTATGGCCAAAGCAGGCCCCATGTGTGGTGAGCAGGTTGAGCCAGTGGAGCACAGAACAAACTGCCTACTAAGCATTATTTCTTTGCAAAAATGTGGCCCAATTTCAGAGAGCTGACTTAGGAGCACAGAATCATGTGCAAGGTAGGAAGTGCCTGTCATGTGATGCCTGTCATGTGAAAATGGAGAGGCATCACTTGCATGTAAGCCCCTCAGGAGACTCAGAGTTCTCAAAAGTTCCAAGACACCGAGGCAGAGAAAACTATTTCCTGGCGAACAGCCACCTTGCCAGAGGCCATGAGGATACTCCCCCCCACCCCCATACTGCCAGCATTAGAGCAACAGGAAGGAAAACTTTTAAAGTGTCGGCAGTAAGACCTAAATTCTCAGCAATGCAAAATGGTCAGAACTTGTGGGTTCTGGTGGTGAGGGAAAGCGAGAGGGAACAGCACGAGCGGGGACACTGAAGGTGGTCAGTAAGAGGGAAAGCAAGGTGGGCAGAAAGCAAGCCGAGGGAAAGCGAGAGGGAACAGCACGAGCGGGGACACTGAAGGTGGTCAGTAAGAGGGAAAGCAAGGTGGGCAGAAAGCAAGCCGGAGAAATACAGAGGTGGGGTTGGAGCGGGCAGGAGGGCAGTGGTAACCTCTTCCCGGCTCCATCCTGCCCCAGGGAAATGTGACCAGGGTGGAAAGGCACTGCTCAGGGGTTTTCACTGAGGACCCGCAAATGCCCTGGGCGGGGGAGGGGGGGGGCGGGCTTGGGCCTGACTGTCAGATAGGCGCCTTCACGGCACACCTCCAGGGGGCGCCCTTTACACGGCATGTGCGTGAACACCACCCACGGAGCTGGACAGTGAGCAGTGAGGCCATGGAGACCGGTTGTATGAACTCTTCAAAAATTATGCATGAACTTTTCTGGGGAGATAGGCTCCAGCTTCTACCAGATGGTCACAGGGGCCACTAACACAAAAAGTTCAAGAAACGCTGTCTACTGGGGCTTGGGACTGAACTGCTACCAAAGAGGTGCCTGCCTGGTCCCTTCCCCAACCCAGTCATCCCCCCAGGTCACCTACAGGAAGGCTCTGCTCCAGCCCTGGGCTGAAAACTCAATACCAACTGGAAGAACGAGGCGAAAAATTCTTGCTGAGGGGCTGAGGCATAGGTCTGAGGAAACAGGCTTAAATTATACCTTGAGAGAAGTTCTGCTGGTGAAGCTGTGCTGTCCAGGAGAGACCTTCTTTGGAAGTCTAGTCCCTGCGGAGCCCGACCCAGGTTAAAAGCTGGTTTAGAGAGGTGACAGCCCACGACAGCCAGCCATCGCTGGAAAAGGGAGGAGGCAGGCA